GTCCTGGGGCAGGCGGAGCTCCCCCGCAGAGAGAGCAGCAGTCCTGCCGAGGAATCGAGCACGTCGCCCTGCTAGAAGCCAGCAGCTGCACTCGGGAGCGGCGCTGAAGGAGTTAACCGGCGGCGCGCCCCCGGGGTCCGAGCTCCCCCGAACGACGAGCTGGGGGCGCGCCCCCCCCCCACTATTAAATCCAGCGCGTTATTATTTATCGCACAGCAGCTGTAGCGCAACAGCGCAGGAGGGGGACAGGCTGGCCGCGGCGCAGAGCCAGGAGGCAGGGACACAGGCCGGGACCGAGGCGCCATGCCGGGTCTGGGGAGGGCCCAGTCCAGTGCCCGTGGGGCAGGCAGACACCAGGGGGCCGCCGAGCCACTCGCTGCCTCCAGCCCCGCTCCGAAGGTGCTTCGGCGGCACCAGGTCTCGACAGGCAGCCCGGTGAGGGACAGCGCCTCCTGCAGGAGAGGACAGCCCTGGTCACAGCTGCTCCCGTCACAGGGAGAAACGGGCCTGGCGCCGCCGGACCACGGAGAAACGGGCCTGGCGCTGCCGGACCAGGGAGAAACGGGCCTGGCGCCGCCGGACCAGGGATCCAGTTTTCGGTCCGCTGTGAGACTGGCCTGTCCCCCCCCAACTTGCACTTCGGGGTTCCTGGATGCAGGAACACCAGCTGTAAGCCTGACTGGTCAAGGTAAATGTATCAATCGATAATCAATAGCCAAGCCCGTCGCCCAGCCACCTCGGACTCGGACCTGTCGATCGCCCGTCGATCACCACCCACAGAGCAAGCCGCAATCTGCCCCCTGCGTCTCCGAGTCAGAACACCCCTGCCCTCTCCCCAGCAGTGGCAGCGAGACAGAAAACTGGAAAACTAGCAAATCTCCTGGCCCCACGACTGCTGTTCGAGTATCTTTGATCAGAAAATCGGTGCGATTTGACTCTCGTATTTGAGGGGTTATAGAACTAATTGGTATTTATGTTCCAATGTCAATAAGCGTTTTGCTTTCAACTGCATCATTTTATAAGGTTTACAACTGCACCTCGTTTGAATCCATACTGCATCTGCTTAGAGGAAGCACTGCGCTATTATTTAGTCAAGCTATTGTGATTTCTAGTTTACTGTTTTCTAGCCAAAAAAATGCGAATTATCCCAAATCTTCCAACGTGAAAAGTACAATCTTGGGAAGCTGATCAGACCGTTACTCCATATTTTTAAACTCCAGCCAACCCGACTCTCCAGAGCAGCCGCCCCTCAATGGAAGCCAAGGTCAGGTTTGGCGCCGGTCCCTCGCCGCGCTGCGGACTGCGGAATTGGATTAGACTTTAACTGGGAGGGGGTGGGTTGGGGTATTTCCCAGTCCTGCAGGTGAGGTGGCTGGACCACGGTCCCAGCGAGACACTTGCACCGCGCACACAACCACTAATCAAGACAAGATCACTTTATTGGCCTTATACAGTTTCTCGTATTAGGAATTTGTCTTTTCGCAGACCCTAACTTTTTCTCCATGAGACACAGACACACAGACAGGGAGAGAAGCTGGGGGTCAGAGCGCAGGGTCGGCCATTTATACGGCGCCCCTGGAGCAGCTGGGGTGAAGGGCCTCGCTCGGGGGCCCAACGGAGTAGGATTCCTCTGCCGGCTGTGGGATTTGAACTGGCAACCTTCCAGCCACCGGCGCAGATCCCGAGCCACAGAGCCACCTCCTCCCCGCCCCAGTGAAACACTTCCACCGATGAACTACACTCTTAGATAAGCCCAGCCCCTGCAGATCCAGCGGGGTCTGGAAGGCGACGGCCACGGCGCCGGCGGCGAAGCCCCTCAGCTCGCCGGGCTTGCAGGACGGGCGGCTCACAGAGAGCTCATCCGCTCTCCCGAGGACGCAAGACAGGTCAGAGGGAGAGCTGGCCAGCAGACCCTCCTCCTCCCAGCCCTGCAGCGCCTGACACCGCCCACCCCCCCCTTCAGCCTCAGCTTCACTCCACTCGGCTCATCGATGCGCCGGGGCGACTCTGGAAATCGACACCGCTACCGCGGAGCCCTGACCCTCGGGCCGGCGCCGGAGACCCAGCCCCACGCTGCCTCCGCGGGCCTCGAAGTGCCGGGCCGGGCCGGACGGGTAAATCGGGCCCCGGGCGCGAGGCTGCATGCGAACGCCTGCAGATCCCTCGTGAGAGGACAGCGCCCACCGGAGCGCTGCCCCGCCTTCCAACCCCGAACGCCGAGGCCCGCTGAGGACGTCCAGCGGAGCCGATCGGCAGCAGCTCCCCAGCGCAGCCAGACCGACCCCCACGCCCGTACGGGCTTCAGGAGGGGCGCCGGACCCGGGCTCGCCAGCGGAGCTCTCCGTGTTCCTGTGGGACGGAGCCCACCCCACCGCGCCAGCGCAGCACCTCTCACCACGGCCCGCGGACTCGACGTGCGCTGAACCAATCAACGACTTTACAGGAGAGCCCAGCGTCTCTCTCCAGCGCCCTCGACGGGCCCAACGACCTCCCGAGTTTTCTGTGCAAAGATCGACGAGCCGAAGAGCTGCCCTGCGGCCTTAAAGCCCAACTCAGTGACGCCACGTGCAGCCGAGGTCTGCGACCCGCGAGCCGAGCTGCTGGCCCAGTGAGGCTCCAGCGGCGCCGTCCTGACGGGCACTCACTGCCCACACTAATCCCCTCAAAATTCACCACTATCACAACACATGAGGTTACAAACTTTTACAACTCTTGAATTACCACGGCAGTTCAAGAGCCATTCTTGTTCAAAAATGACATTTCAGAATTAGGTCAAGTAGGCAGCTGCATCGATTGCAAAGGAACGAGTAAAGGTTTATTTCATGCTGAAAAGAGAAGAAAAGAAACAATGTTTCAGCTGTGGAGTCTTCTTCGGGTGATCTGTATCTGGGTAAGAGGGTCACCCCGACCCGACCCTGCTGGCCAGCTGCTTCCCACCAGCCCCGGCAGACAGCTGCGGAGGCGAACTCCACGCTGCACAGCAGGAAGAAGGAGCAGCCTTCCGGCTTCGGAGACTCGCGCCTGGAGAAGGCTCCGCAGCCCAAGAGGGGTGCTACTTCTTTCTGCTCGTGCAGCGCTGGAAGATCCCTTTTCAAGAGGGAGGGACACGCAGCACGAAGGACAAGGTTGTCCACTGTAGCTGCACGGCCCTCAGAAGTGATCATCTCGAGCTCCAGCCCCGACTGGCTCCAGGCGTGTGGACAGCAGGGAGGGGTCCTGGCCGCGACGCACTCTTCATCCCTGACAGGAGCATCCCTGAGCGCAGCACAACCGCCAGAGCGACTTTCTTACTGCCAGAGTCACCTCTCTGCTAAATCACAACCAGAGGCCTGACCAGCACAACCTTTACATGGGTGTTTTATGCTTTATGACCATATCGCATGAGTCTGGATTATTTTTTCCGGTAGTTAAAATAGATTTGCTGCGTTTAAAGGCGCTATATGAAATGCACCTGGTATTTAATTATTTTTATTATCGTCGTGGTGCCCATTAACAACTACACTGAATACCAAAACCCTGACGGTTACTCTACCACGTAGCAGAGATAGCAGTGTTTGTTCAGCAGCACCATTAATTACAAGCAACTATAGCGGGGAGAGGGGGGGTGGTCTGGACTGCGCGCACGCGCATCGGGACCACAGCTCGCCGTGCCCGCGGCGCTGCGCGCTCCCGTCACCCCCCCGGACTCTCGGAAGCGCGCTCCCGACCTCACACAACAACAGCAGAGCGCGGTGAGCGCGCCCCCCTGAAGCGCTTCCAGAGCCCACGGGCGGCGCCCCCAGGGGGCCGGGGAGCCCCACCGAGGCGGCCAGACCGGCGGCGGCGGCCAGCGCGGAGACCCCCGTCTGCGCCAGGACAGTCCTCCCCAGCCTTACCCCTCTGTGTCTCGGCCAGGCCGCTCCGCTCCGCCCTCGCCGGCTCCGTCTCCCTCGGCTGTCGGCTGTCCCCGCTTACCCCCCGGGACTGACCCCGTCCTCTTGCTGCGCCAGGGGACGAGCTCGGGTTTTTATGATCTCTCGCCTTGCGTGCGACCCGCTCGCCGGTCTCTTCCTTGTGTTAATTTTTTCTTCTCTTTCTTCTCCTCAGATCTCGCTGAGCGCCATCTTACATTCAACCCCTCTTGGCCAATCCGGCGGCGCTCGCGAGCTCTCGCGAGGCAGGCTCGAGCAATTACCGCGAGACACGACCGCGCAGCCCGTCTCGCCTTAAAGGGGACACGCGCCCTCCCTTTCTGCCGGGCGGGCCGCCGCCGCGTCTCCGGGGCAACCGCCGCGACCCGCGCCTGATGGGAACAGGGAAGAGTCACCTTCGATACGTGACCGGGGCCACAGAAATTCCAGTAGGGCCGTATGGACTGGGAGAGACCGGGAGGCAGTGTGGGATTGAGAGACAGGGAAGCTAAGGGAGGCAGAGGGAGTCCGGGTGGGACAGTGGTTAGAGCTGAGAGAGACAAACATTCTTCCACAAATTTACAAACCTAATCCCAGAATTCCCACACCTGCCAGAATCACAACGGGTCCCAATCCTACTGGGAGAGGGACAAGGGAACTCAGCTGAACTGGCAGCCCAGTATGCGATCTCCTATCCCAGCCTGAGGAACAGTGAGCCTGCCTGCCAATAATGCTCCATATGTTTGTATGTAAATGTATTATGACGTGTTTATATTGCAAAAGTCTGTAGATGTTATGTAATTGTATATGTTTTGGCAACACTGATTTGTCATGCCAATAAAGCTTCTTGAATTGAATTGAGAGAGGCAGTGTGGGGCAGTGGGCAGAGCTGAGAGAGAGGGAGGCAGTGTGGGACAGTGGGTAGAGCTGAGAGAGAGAGGGAGGGAGGCAGTGTGGGACAGTGAGTAGAGCTGAGAGAGAGGGAGGCAGTGTGGGACAGTGGGTAGAGCTGAGAGAGAGGGAGGCAGTGTGGGACAGTGGGTAGAGCTGAGAGAGAGGGAGGCAGTGTGGGGCAGTGGGTAGAGCTGAGAGAGAG